AGGATAAGGTGCGTTTGTCCCACAGCCCACAGGATGCTCCAGCTGACACAAAACGAGTGTCACAGGCTCCCCAGCTCTTTCCTGGGGGGAAGACAGGACCCCAAGACACCCTGGCTGGGCTCAGCTGGCTTCCTTCATGGGATGACAGTCCCGCCATAGCAACCTGCACACACTCGTCGTCTTGGGCTGGAAGAGCTTTGTTCCCCAGATGCGGCTTCCTTTTTTTTCTTTTTTCATTAGGAAAGGGGAGGGTGTGGGAGAATGGCTCAGATATAAACAGTTACCACGGAGACCGAGTCAGCCTGGAAAGGTTTCTCCTTCCCTCGGTCCATACAGAAGGGGGGGTGCCCCAGCCGCAGGGGATCACGGGAGGCTGTAGTCCCAGTGCCGATTCCTCCTAGCTTGGAGCTGCCAGATGTTAAGAGTTTTCCGGCTCGTGGGGCAGAGACAGGCAGGGGCACCCAGAGTTTCCAAGAGGACTTGGGGGTGTCCGGCAACACTTTCAGAGTCCCTGGGCCCAGACAGCCTGCCCCATCACTCCGACAATGGACACAGCTGAACTTCCTGCCTGCTGCCTCCCTGCGGTCTGCAGCAGAGCGCCGTGACCTTCTGTTTTCCTTAAGTGCCCAAGTCGGGCAAGAAGCAATGGGGTGTGCGTACTCATCTCCGAGGGAGGAGCCCGCCCCAGGAAGGTCAGTTCAGCCCAAGTGCATCCAGACTGAGTGGGGGACCCCACGGGGGCCTGAGCAGAGCTGTGAGCACTCTCGGGGCTGTTTCTCCAGTCCTGGGGCCTAAGCCAGGAGATGGGTTCACAGGCCACATTTCCCTGCTTTCTGGAGAGGGGACCTGGCCTGGAAGCTAGGAATGCCCTGTTCACCTCACCTGCAGAGGACTAGGGGCCTGTGCAAGTCGGGTCAGAAACTGTAGGCAGGGAAAAGCCAGGGCAGAGCTCTCTGTGGCAGAGACCTTCGGGCTGAGCAGGTGACTTCTGCTCCCCTGAGACCCGCCAAGCAGGCCTTGGGGTGGAGGGGTCTCAGCTGCTCCACAGGCAGGCCCCTTACCCAGCGGGGGCTTAGCAGGACTGCGCCAACACAGTGCCTCCTTCACCTGCTCTGGCTCCCCCTGAGGCGGCTGCCCCCCGCCAAAGTCCCGGAAGGTAGCCAGAGTCAGGCAGGGGAGAAGGTGGAGAGCTCTTCCTGTCCCCGGACGGAAGCTGAGGAAGAGACAGGCTTTGAGCCTCAGAAATGTTAGGTCTTCCATGAGAACCTTACTCTTGGGTGGCGAGGGCTCACACTCCTTGGCCACCCTGTGACATCTTCAGCCAGAGCCACCCCCAGGCTGCTGGAAAAGGACTTGAGCTCAGCCGCAGCGGTATGGTCCTCGGCAGGCCCTTGGCAGCCTGCTCCCTGTGGCATTCTCTCTTGGGAGCCATTTCCTGCCCCTGAGAGAGGGGCTGAGCTCTTCCAAGAGGCCTTTGCTGTCCTCTGGCAGTGACTGCCTGTGGTCCCCACTCCTTTCTGTTCCTGCCACGTGCCCAGTCCATCCACAGTCTCAGCCTGTGCCACCTTGTGGCCTGGGTATCTTCACAGCCACAGACTAACCGACAGCTGTCTGCTTCCCCTGGGTGTTAACCAGGTCCCCGGTGCTGTGCAGGGCATGGGAAGGGCTGTGAGAGGAGCCTGGGGTCTCCAGAGAGCGGGGCTTGTCCCTCAAGCCTGCCCCTGATGTGTGGCTCTTTCCCTCCTGCTGTGATTCCCCTGGGACCCTGTCTTCCTCAGAAGACACAGGTGAGGTGGCATGGTGCCCGTCCTTGGGCCACCCGGGTAGGTTCATGCTGCCCATAGAAAAAGGATAGCCTGGCACTCCCGGGGTCCCTGGGGTTGTCTTATGTCCCTCTCCCCTGCAAACCTTGGAGATGTGGCTCCTCTAGAAACACTTGTCCTTTGAGCAGACACAGGAGTTGGCTTTTCAGCTGATGTCAGACCTTTCAAAGAGGGTAGTGACTGAGGTGGATGCCTGGAGGCCTCCATCCAGATGCTGGACAGGGGGTCAGGACTGACCACCCAGGAAGGCCACGCCTCACTATGTATTTAGTGCCAGGCCTGTGCTGGTCAGCAAAAATGCACAAATGTGTCACCCCTCCCACCACCACACCACCATGGAAGTTCTTAAAGCCAGGCCTTAAGTGTTGAAGACGGTGACACCCTTATGTTGAGGGACAGATGGGGATGCCCTGAAGAGGAAGTTCCAGTTCTGTGGTGGAGGACCGCAGGAGCTGATTGGGCCCAGGGATCAGGAGTCTGTGCGTGTGTCCGCTCGCACATGTGGGGAGGAGGCTCAGCCAGAGCATGGGGCAGCCAGTGGGGTGCTGCACGATCCATCGGCCTCTTGTTAAACAGCCCTGACCCTGCCTACCTGGTCCTGCTAGTGCCCTTGTCCTCACTGCTGTAGCCTCTAGGCCAACCGTGAGTCTAGGCCTACGGGCAGCACTGCCTCAGATAAAAAGGCAGAGTTGTTGGGAACAGAAATTAGCCCCCATCACAAGAGACCCCAAATCCCTCACCGCTGGGAGAAAGCCACTTTTAGCATCTTACCATGGGTCGTGTGGACTTTTGAACACACTGGCATTCTGTTATCAGATTACTTTTTTGGTATAAAGTTTTAAGTTTTTATTTATTTATTTGCAGTGTTGTGGGTCAAATCCAGGGCCTTGCACGTGCTAGGCAGGCATTCTGTGTCTCATTGTCTTGCTGTGTAGCCCAGGCTGGCATGGAACTCATGGTCTTCCTGCCTCAGCCTCCCAATTGTTGGGATTATAGGTGAGCACTACCACGCCTGGCTAGAATGTTTGTTGAAACACAGTATCTACAGAAAGGGGTATGTGTGCATCCTCAGCGTACAGATGGATGAATGGGTGCTAACTGTCGCCACCCAGGCCAGCAAGCCCCAGGAGTTCCCTCCTTATCCTGGCTCTTATCCTTCATCCTGGCTTTGTCCCCACAGGTTGGTCATTTCCCTGGCTTCCCACAGTCAACATGGTGTCTGTGAGATCCGTCCACCTTAGCATCTCATAAGGGCTCGTGGATGACTTGTTCCTTTGCACTGCTGCTGGGGGAATGGCCCATCCTGTCCTCAGATGTAGCCTAGTGGGTTTATTTGCTGCAGGAGCCCATGGTCATTTCCCACAGCAACACAGACTTGACACCCTGTGAGTGTGACGATGCGCAGGTGTGAACGCGCTCTCTCAGCTGTGCGCCCAGGAGAGCTGATGACTGAGGGCAGACGGAGCACTGTGGCAGATGCTGGCACAAGAGGACATGCCACACCAGCAGGGCACAGGAAGTCCACTTGCTCCACTTCATCCCTACCTTCAGTGTTGCCAGTGTTAGTAGTTTTTGCCATTCCAGCAGGTAGAACATGGATCTCATGCAGCTCTGTTTTCCTTTCTCTGGAAACAAAAGTGCCTGTTTAAGCAGGGTGTGGTGGTTCATGCCTGTAATCCCAGGCCTTGGGAGGCAGAGGCAGAATGATCTCGAGTTCCAGGCCAGTTTAGGCTACATAGCCAGACCCTGCCTCAAAAAAAATGAAGGAGGGGGAGAAGGAGGAGCAGGTGCCTGTTGAAGTCTTGACAGTTTTACTGTTGACTTGCTTGCTTTTTTTTCCTTTTTTTTTTGGCAACATTGCGGCTTGAACGCAGGGCCTCACCCTTGCTAGGTAGGAGCTCTACCACTTGAGCCACTCCACCAGCCCTTTTTTGGGATGGGATTTTTCAAGATGGTGTCTTGCAAATTATTTGCCTGGGCTGACCTCAAACCTCAATCGTCCTGATCTCTGCCTCCTGAGTAGCTGGGATTATAGGCATGAGCCTCCGGCAGTCTTTTTCTGATTGATTGACTCCTCGAATCTCCATCCATGTCCTTGGTCAGGTTTGCGTATGCTGCAAGGGTCCCTGCCTGGGCCTGGCTTGTGTTTCATTCCCTTATCAGGTCATCTTAAACAGGTGCAGCTGTACTGGAGCCTTCAGACTTGTTGCCGCATTCAAACAGCTACGTTTCAAGCAGCCTGAAGTTCACCAGCAGAGCAGGGTGTTTCTGCCTCGCTGTCTCTGGCCAGGCTTGGGCTTTGGCGAGGGTCCTTGGTGAAGCCCTGTGGCTCATTATGACACCCCTGCAGGCCTGGGGCAAGAGCAAAGGGAAGAGAAGGGACAGAAAATGGAGAGGCTGAGGCAGGGGCCAGACACTGGGGTAGTGGAGGTAGCAAGTACATGGGTCAGGCCCATACCTATCCCAAGGGGGCTGTGCCAGGCTGTGGCAGGTAGGAACATGGAGCAGAGACAGTGAGCCTCGGCCCCAGCTCAGGACAGGGAGGGTATTTGAGGAAGCTGATACACGAGCACGGTGCGCAGGGAGGAGCTGAGGTCTGCAAGTGCGTGAGCGTTCGGTCCCGGTGACTGTAACATAGAGAGGCGTGTTAAGTCAGCACACTGGGCATGGCTGATGGAGTGACAGGCAAGGCAAAGGACAGATTCTGAGGGGATGTGTGTAGCCCACCCTGAGGGCTGTGGGAGCCATTGAAGGATTTAGGGGGAGCAGGGTGGGAGCACAGTCGAAGTCTCTTCTACCAGGAGCTGCGTGAGGTAGCGATTGGGGAGGAGGAGGTTGGAAGTGGACATGAGGTGAGGCCAGGGGGACCTTTGGCCATGGGCGGGGAGGAAGAGAGACAGGAAAACTTTGACCTCTTCTGTGTTAGAGGGAAGCAGGTTCCCATCTCTGGGGATGGAAGGTTTTTGCAAGATATTGGTATCACAAGAGTTTTAAGGTTAAACTATAGGGGAAGGAGGCTACTTTACCAGCCAGAACCCCCAGCCTGCTCCTCTAGCCCCAGGCTAGACAGACATCAACTGCTGGCTTAGTCACTGGGGAGTGGCACAGGGGACCTGCCTCCCAGGACCCCATCCCATTACAACTGAGTCTCTCATCTGTCGGGCTCTTGTTTTTCAGGACCCCCTCTGTCAAAGAGAGTAGCTTCGTGGAGAAGATGAAGAAAACGGTGAGTTTTCTCTCTGTGTCTGCTCTCTGTGGTGAGGCGTAGCCCGCACCAGCGGGAGCTGGGTGGGCAACACTTACAGGCCTGCTTGCCCATGGGTGTCTTCCCAACGGAGCTCCTGGCCGCTCTGCTCTTGCTGGGATGCTTTGCTTTGCTTTGCTTTTGAAGGGTAAGACCAGGCCCTCGTCCCTCTTGTTATCAGAGTTTGGAGTTTGACAGTTTTCTAGGTTAAAAAATGTATCTCACTGAGTATGGTCGTGCCATCTGTAATCCCAGCACTGAGGCAGGAGGATGGCGCGTTCAAGGCCAGCCTGGGAGATATGTGGATCACCCTTTCTCGCACAGCTGACTGAACAACCCTGTCCTAGCGTCCATCTTCTCCCGCTGGCTTGAGATGGACCATGCTCACGCGCGTAGTTCCCATTTGTGGTCGGTCTGTTCCCTGTCCTGGTGTTTACCTCTCTGTCTGTTCACAGCTGGTGTCTTGTGATTTAAATTGAGGTTTTGTGATCTGTTGACCATCTTGTCGTGGTACACCCTAGCCCCTTCCCCATTGCTCTTCTCTTTCATGGTTTTGCCGGGTATTATTTTACATTCATTGGTTTGCGGCACTGGGGTTTGGACTCAGGCTTCATACTTGCTAGACAGGCGTGCTTCTGCTTGAGCCACGCCTCCAGTCCTCTGTCGTGCAAGCAAGAGCTTCATCGCTGGGATCTGTACTCCATACGAGCGGCCATTGTAAAGTAGCGCAGAGTTTTGGAACATCATCCCAGTCTTTTATTTTTGTGGTGCTGGGACGGAACCCAGGGCCTTGCCTGTGTGAGGCAAGCGCCCACCACTGAGCCACACCCCCAAAACAAACAAAAGCCTTGTACAGACTTTTCTTCTTATTCCTAAACAACAAGGTGTAACAGTTACCTAACACCTACACTGGACCAGACATTGCAAGTTTTGGAGGTGCCCTCACACATAGAGGATTGTCATGTGGTGGAACCAATGCCCAGGCTAACACTCTCCCCGCCATTCTCCGTGGTCACCTTCTTATCAGCGTGTTGCACTTTTCCCCGTATCCTCCCAACTGAGCATTGAGTGTTGCTTCCTTGCCAGCTCCAGCTGGGGTCCTTTGAGTGACATTTGTCCTTGTCATAGTAAGATGCCAGCCCCAGAATGGTGCAGGGAACCCCCCCACACCGCAACCCCCGGCCCCTGGACTCCTGGGCCCCTCCCTGACACTGCCTGGCGTCCCCTAGGGAAGGAACATTGTTGTGTTCTACGGCTCCCAGACGGGCACTGCCGAGGAGTTCGCCAACCGCCTGTCCAAAGACGCCCACCGCTACGGGATGCGGGGCATGGCCGCGGACCCCGAGGAGTATGACCTGGTAAGCCCCGCACTGGCCCCGACTTCCGCACAGGGACAGAATGACACGCGCAGCTCTGCCACTTGTGCTGCCAGGCTTCCGTGCCCAGGCACCGCTCCCAGTGCTGCTCGCGCTCAGCCCCGATGGCTGCAGCCCACGGGGCTTCACAGACGCTGGGCAGGTGCATGCAGAAGGGCAGTGGCCAGGGGATGGGGTGTGGCTTGGAAAGTTAGAGGCTCAACAGTGCAGGAGAGGGACTCTTGTCCCCCACCCGAGAGGCAGGAGAGGCAGGTGGAGTGTTACAGGATCCGGGCACCAGCCCTGCCCCGGCTGCCTGGCTGCTTCCTTCCCTGTCCAGGGAGGAGTGTGGCAGACATCTCGAGGACCCTTCAGCTGGTCTTGCACTGATGCTATTAGTAATTTGTGTGTCAAAGCTAGAGCGAGAGTGGGGCCATGGGGCAGGACCAGGAGAGGCTGAGGTTCTGGGGTAGGCTGCAGGCTTCAGGCTTCCTCCTCTTGTCAGGTCCTCCGTGTGCTGCTCCCATTGGGCCACAGAAGCAGACAAGTTCGGGCCTCAGCTGTTGCTGAGGGCTGGGGATGCAGGTTGCCCATCACTGCCCCCAGGTTCATCCGCTCATTCTCTTGGCATTGACTGTCCCCACCCCCTGGTACAGGATGGCTGTGCACAGCTGTCCACTTGCTTGTTTCTGGGTTGGGAGAGCTAGTGACAGGCCACCAGCCCCAGATGAAGCAGTGGGCAGCTCATCCCTAGGAAGGGAGAGGCTGCCAGGGAGGAAGTGGTTCTGGAAGAAACCCCTAGGAGTCACCTCTGCATCCCCACCCGGCTGGCAGAAGGGACACACCTGCCACTCTTGCACCTTGCAGGGTAGGACAGACTTTTGCTCAGAGCTGCAGGCTCCTGAGCCGAGTTCCTTCCCTCCAGCTCCCTCTCCACCCCAACCTGTCATCTCACTTGTGCCAATGTCTTCCACCCATCTCTAGGCAATGTCCCTGGGGGGCCCTGTGGGATGGTGAATTTCTGCCAGGGTGCTCCAGGGCCTGATGTACAAGGGACCACGTTCTGTGAGCCCTCAAGCATCCAGATGCCAGCTGTCCCCTGCTTCTGCCCTCACCCAGGCTCCTCGTGCCTGCTGTCACCTTCTTCAAAAACCACCCTGACCTCACCTTCTCATCCTGTTCACCTGGCTCCAGCATCAGCCCCACTGGAGCCAGGCATTCCCTCTCTGCTCCCACCACCTCATAGCCCTGGGAACTGCCCCATGGACAGCTGTTTTGGGCTGACCCCAGCAGACCTGGTCAGGGTGGCAGGTGGCCCTCCTGTCTCTCCAGGCCGACCTGAGCAGCCTGCCAGAGATCAACAATTCCCTGGTGGTCTTCTGCATGGCCACCTATGGCGAGGGTGACCCCACCGACAATGCCCAGGATTTCTATGACTGGCTGCAGGAGACAGACGTGGACCTTAGTGGAGTCAAGTACGCGGTGAGTCTCCCATCAACTCCTGTGTGCGTGTGGGATCCTGTGTCCAAAGAAAACCGTCAGGCCTTCACCTTATTCTGCCCTGGGGAGGAAAGGCCAGAGAAGTGTGGCAAGATGTCTGAGATTTGACTGGGCAAGGCAGGCAGGGTGTAGTGCCCCTTGCAAGTCTTGAGGTGGAGGCTTCTGGGTTGGGCAGACAAGGCCTCGTAGGGCCCCCAGTGCCAGGCACCTGGCAGGTCAGAGGCCCACTGGGCCTGAGCATCCACCCACTCCAGGCGCCACCCGCCCTGTAGGTGTTCGGCCTTGGGAACAAGACATACGAGCACTTCAACTCCATGGGCAAATACGTGGACCAGCGGCTGGAGCAGCTTGGTGCCCAGCGCATCTTTGAGCTGGGCCTGGGCGACGACGACGGGAAGTGAGTGCCCTCCCCTTGCCCGCCAGCTGTGTGGGACCCCAGCCTTTCCAGGTACCCCTGCTGTCACGGGTCAGGAGCCACAGGGCAAGGGGTGCAAAGCCCATGTAGCTGAAGTTGAGGATGTGCATCAGTGGCCTTGGCCAACCAGCTCAGCACAGCTGCACTCAGTTGGCCTAGATGCTTCCTTGGGGCCTTCCTGGGTGTTGGGTCGCCTTGCTGGGTGGCCCAGAGAAGTAAGCGGAAGGGAGGTGAAGGTCCTGCCAGCGGGAGGGCCCAAGCTGGCCTGGTGCTGTCTGTGCGAGGTTTTCAGTGCTGACTTGTCCCTTCCCCTGCCCAGCTTGGAGGAGGACTTCATTACCTGGCGAGAGCAGTTCTGGCCAGCCGTGTGCGAGTTCTTTGGGGTGGAAGCCACCGGAGAGGAGTCCAGGTGAGTGGGAGACCTCAAGTGGGGGTGGCCTGGGTGGCCCTGGGGACGCAATGAGAAGGGGTGGCAGAAGCTCGGTCAGAGGGGTGGGTCTTCCTTACCTTCTCTTGGAAGCTGGCTTCTCCCAGGCCTCAGAGAGCGCTGACGTGAGCAGGGCCTGCCACAGGGTCCCCATGCCTCCTGGGTTGCGTCTGGGCCCTTCCCTTCTTCAGTCCCACCCCCTCCTCTCTGGACGGAGCCCTGTAGTCCTAGCCCCGACCCCGGCGTCGGTCTCTTGTTCCAGCATTCGACAGTATGAACTCATGGTCCACGCGGACATCGACACAGCCAAAGTCTACGTGGGCGAGATGGGCCGTCTGAAGAGCTACGAGAGCCAGAAGCCGTGAGTAGCCAAGCGGCATGGGGCTGAGACCCAGAATTGAGGGAACTGACCACAGGATGGCCACTGCTCCCCACTGGGGCAACGCCATCATGGAGAGAGAGGCTCTTGACCAGTCCGTCCTCCCTCTGCTTCTACATCTCTCTCCATAAACACCCTGGTGCCCACCAGTTCTTGGGCAAGGACACGGCAAGGTCAGAGCAGGGTCTAGGTTAGGTTGAACTTGGCAGGAGTGCTGACCGGTGCATAGGCCTCGGCATCCGTGGGCACGAGGTTCCCGGGGTCTGCTGTGGAGGAAGACGTGCACACGTTCAGGCTGTAGGGTTCAGCACTGACCGGATGCTTGATTCTTTTCCCCATAGCACCGCCCCACTTCCACCTTTCACAAATCTGCAATCTCCACTCGAGGTTTTCAGTTGAGCACATTCACGTTTACCCTGGTTTTTGGGGGCACCCTTTGCTTTGGGGAAGGCATTTGCAGAAAATGAAGGTCAGAGCACACAACAGTTTCAACACAACTGACAACAGCACGGGACTGACTGAAAGCTCCACGTCCACTGAGCCATGGAATGCACGAGTGGGAATTTAAAGTTTCTGTTCTAGAAATTTTTTCTGATTAAGCCAGGCGCCAGCCTGTAATCTAACTACCAGGAGGATCATGGTTTGAAGCCAGCCTGAGCAAATGGTTCAACCCTGTCTCAAAAATGCCCATCACAAAAAAGGGCTGGCAGAACTTCTTTTGATTGAAAATAAATTTTTCAAAACCACAACTATGAGGCAGGCTTACTGTCTGTATTTGGACTTTTGATTAAAAAATCCATCAAGCTCCTCATTGGGCCCCAAGTACCCCTGCGGGCTGCTCAAGATTGGCACAGGAGCTGCCCAGGGGTCCTGCTGGGACCCCTGACGCAGGCAGGCCTGCAGCCCTGCCAGACACAGCCCTACTACTGGGCCAAAACCCTCGTCCCAGACATGTGGGTGAGGGACCTGTCAGTGGGGCTCCGTCCCACACTCAGCCCCTCACGGGCACAGAAGGCCACAGGTTTCTTAGGGGCCAGCCTCAGTTTACCTGTCGGTGGATAGGGACATGGATCACCTGGCTCTGCCCACTTTACTGCACCACATGGCCTGAGAGAGCTCTTGACATAACTGCTGAGGTCTCCTTGTAGCCTTTGGCGGCCCAGAGACCCCCAGGAACAGGGAGAGTCCCTCACAGCTTCTCCTCTCCCCACCCAGCCCCTTCGACGCCAAGAACCCATTCTTGGCTGCAGTCACCACCAACCGGAAGCTGAACCAGGGGACTGAGCGGCACCTCATGCACCTGGAACTGGACATCTCAGACTCCAAAATCAGGTACACCTGCCTCCCGTCCCGGCCTCTTCCGGGCTGCGGGGGCGGGGCTGGGGCCTCCCGCCGGCCTCAGCTTGCCGGCCTCAGCTTGCCCTCTCTAGGTATGAGTCCGGGGACCACGTGGCCGTTTACCCAGCCAACGACCCTGTCCTCGTCAACCAGATTGGGGAGATCCTAGGTGCTGACCTGGATGTCGTCATGTCCCTGAACAATCTTGACGGTCAGTCTGAACTGGAGCCCCCTTGGCCAGGCTCCCCAGGGCCCTTTCTCCAAGACAAAAATACTTAACAGCCTCGGCCCTGTCCCTTAAGCCCCATCCCTGTCACAGTGAGGGAGTGGACCTGAGGGAGGCAGAGCTGGTCTTGCACTTGAGGCGGCTGGGGAGGCCACCATGTCCTGCTGCAGAGGGGACTGTGAGGCAAAGCCCTGGTCTCAGTCCTGGCACCACTGGGCCTGGGCCACCTCTCCTTGCTGCAATGCAGGGACTGCAGTCAGGAGCCCCATTGCCCACCAGGTCCCTTCAAGGGTGCCAGGAAGCCCTAGCCGGGTGCTGTCTCCCACGCTGCTCCTTGTGACGCCCAGCACCTGTGTGACACCTATGGGTCCACCAGTGGCAACCCAGACCCTTCTCTCAGCTTCCAATCCACCTGAGAGCAGCAAGGTAGACCAGCCTCGTTCCACTGAGGCTCGACCTCACCAGGTCCAGTGGGCACTTCAGCTGCCTCTGCCTGGCCACGGAGGGTGACCAGTCACCCCAAATCCTTTCTTCCTCCCTCTACAGAGGAGTCCAACAAGAGGCACCCGTTTCCCTGCCCCACGTCCTACCGCACGGCGCTCACCCACTACCTGGACATCACCAACCCCCCGCGCACCAACGTGCTGTACGAGCTGGCGCAGTACGCCTCCGAGCCGGCCGAGCAGGAGCTCCTGCGCAAGATGGCGTCGTCCTCCGGCGAGGGCAAGGTGAGGCTGCGCCCCGGCCCAGCCTGGCCCCGCGGCCTCCCGGCCCCGCCCCGCCCCGGTGACCCCGCACCTCTGCGTCTCCCCAGGAGCTGTACCTGACCTGGGTGGTGGAGGCCCGGCGGCACATCCTGGCCGTCCTGCAGGACTACCCGTCCCTGCGGCCCCCCATCGACCACCTGTGTGAGCTGCTGCCGCGGCTCCAGGCCCGGTACTACTCCATCGCCTCGTGCCCCAAGGTGAGGGGCCCGGGGGGAAGCGGCGCCCCGCCCCGCCCCAGTGACCCCGCACCTCTGCGTCTCCCCAGGAGCTGTACCTGACCTGGGTGGTGGAGGCCCGGCGGCACATCCTGGCCGTCCTGCAGGACTACCCGTCCCTGCGGCCCCCCATCGACCACCTGTGTGAGCTGCTGCCGCGGCTCCAGGCCCGGTACTACTCCATCGCCTCGTGCCCCAAGGTGAGGGGCCCGGGGGGAAGCGGCGGACAGGCCAGGCAGGGCCTGCGTGAGAACCATGGGCCTTCTGCCTGGAAAGGGGCCTTCCAGGGTCACTGGAAGGGTGGGCGAGGCTCAGTGACAGGGCTGGGACACTTAAGATGGGGCCCTTGTCCCGGCTGCCACTCACGCTAGCCCACTTCCAGGTCCACCCCAACTCCGTGCACATCTGTGCTGTGGCTGTGGAGTACGAAGCCAAGTCCGGCCGCACTAACAAGGGGGTGGCCACCAGCTGGCTGCGGGCCAAGGACCCCGCGGGGGAGAACGGCCGCCGGGCCCTGGTACCCATGTTCGTGCGCAAGTCCCAGTTCCGCCTGCCCTTCAAGTCCACCACGCCCGTCATCATGGTGGGCCCCGGCACGGGCGTGGCCCCCTTCATGGGCTTCATCCAGGAGCGGGCCTGGCTGCGGGAGCAGGGTGAGCTCACGGGCCTCTGGGCGCAGGGTCGTGGTGGTGGGCAGAGGCCCGAGCTCACCCTGACCTTGACCTGGCCACTGCGCAGGCAAGGAGGTGGGGGAGACGGTGCTGTACTATGGCTGCCGCCGCGCGGATGAGGACTACCTGTACCGCGAGGAGCTGGCCCAGTTCCACAAGGACGGCGCCCTCACGCGGCTCAACGTCGCCTTCTCCCGGGAGCAGGCCCAGAAGGTGAGGGCGGCAGCCATGCTGGCAGGACAGGGTTTGGGCAAGGCGGAGGCGGCACCCTGACGGCCACCCTCCTGCCCCACAGGTCTACGTCCAGCACTTGATGAAGAGAGACAGGGAGCACCTGTGGAAACTGATCCACGAGGGCGGCGCCCACATCTACGTCTGCGGGTGAGTGAGGGAGGAGGCCGGGCAGGGAGGCCCCGTCTCCTCCTGGGGTGGCCCCTGCCCAGCCCCCACTGCCACCTCCTTCTCGCCTCCAGGGATGCGCGGAACATGGCCAGGGATGTGCAGAACACCTTCTGTGACATTGTGGCTGAGTTTGGGGCCATGGAACGTGCCCAGGCTGTGGACTATGTCAAGAAGCTGATGACCAAGGGCCGCTACTCCCTGGACGTGTGGAGCTAGGGGCCCTCGCCCCCTGTGGTCACTCCTCACTCCCTCTGCCCTCTGCCGGGCTGGCCATGGGACAGAGGCCCTGCCCCAGACAGACTCCTCGGCAGCGCACTAAGCAGCGCCTCCTTTGCCCAGCCCCAGGGCACAACAGGGGGACTGGGCCACCTCCAGTGATGTTCTCCTCAGTGTGCAGAAGGGGCTCTTCTTAGCCATGCTGGGGCCAGGTCCTGCCCTGTCATTTTGAATGAGTGTAAATAATTTTAGATAATCTCTGGCCCTTGGAATAAAGTTGTTTTCTGTATCTGCCTGTTTGTTAGTGCTTTCATACATCAGTGGCCTGACCCCAGAGATCAGGAACCCCAAGAACTTGTGCCATAGTGGGAACACCGAGCCCTGCTTTCCTTAGAACACAGCCGTCAGGTGCCTTGGTTACTTTCTTTATTGAGGCCTAGCACCCGGCTCCCACAAGGCTGGGGCCAGACCCAGGTCCTCCTCAGGGCCCACGGAGCCCACAGACCCAGGGGGAGCAGGGGGACCCCAGTACACACACACACACACACACACACACACACACGAGGTGCCCCACCCCCCTGCCACACAGGTCAGAGTCCCTTTGGGGTCGGGGAGATCTGGCTCATTCCTTCTTGCTCCCATGCCGCTGGCTGTGGAATTTCTGGTGCACCACCCTCAGGGTAGTGAAGAAGTTGCCGAGGAAGAGGAGGAGGAAGGGGAGGCCACACATGAGCACCTGTGGGGAGGCTGCAGTCAGGACGGGGTCAAGATGGACCACAGTGCCCTTCCAGGCCCCGGCTCACCTGCCACTCCTTGCACTGAGGGTCTCGGGCCAGGCCGAACAACGTCAGAGCGTTGAAAAGCTGCCAGAACTGAGCAGAAAGGAGTTTTCTCAGTGAAGCCACTTGCCTGGTCAAGCCCGGAGCTAGGGCCGGGTGTGACACACAGACGGACGGGGACACCCAGGTCTAGCTTACGTGTCCAAAGAAAAGGAAGGGAAGCAGGAAGGTGAGGCCCCGCCACATCCAGGACTGGAAGCCCTCTGTGGGGAGAAGGCCAGGCAGAGTGACCAACAGATAGCGACCAGCATCTGCGCTGGCCCCAAGGAAGGGAGGCCCCTGCCCCCCAGCACCGGGGGCTCAGAGCGAGCGGGACTCACCCACAGTGAGGTCCATGGTGTGCCGCTCGCCCAGGGCGCGCAGGCGGTATAGACAGCCGCTCTGGTAGTAATACTGCAGGAACTGCACGAAGCCTGCAGGCCAGGCAGGGGCCTCAGAACCGCCGGGCCACACCTTCTCCCAGCGCCCCCCGCCCCCGAAACCCGAGACGCTCACTCTGGTACATGGAGAAGGACAGGAACTGGTTCCTGAACTTCTGGTACATGAGGCCATCCGGCCTGAGGGGAGAGCGGAGGGACAGGTGTGGGGAGCCTGGGACACGGCTCTCGCCCTGTCCCAGCTCCCGCCAGCTGAGGTCGGCTGCTCACCACGTTAGCATGACTCCCGACAGAAACGTGGACACGTAATGGTGGAAAACCCACCAGCCTTTGATCCTGCAGAAGGGAGTCACTGTCACGCCTGTCCCCTCAGCGAGACCGGCTTAGGGAGGGGGACCGGGTCAGGGAGGGGAAGCCCCGCCCCGCCCCGGCGCACCGGGAGCCGTTGTTGATGAGGATGCTCTCCCGGATGGTGAGCGTGCAGTAATACCAGACCAGCAGGAAGTTGAAGGCTGCGTCCGTCACCCTGGGGAGGGCACAGAGGTTGCCACCAGAGCCTCGGAGGGCGCAGGGCCGGCCCAGCCCCAGGACACCCACCTGGAGTTGAGCAGGAAGCGGCAGGTGAAGGAGACGAGGATGAGGATGATGGTGAGGTAGAGCTTAAACTTCTCATACTCGTCCTTGTAGGCGAACCTGGGGGCCGTGGGGCTGGGCTGGATGGCGGGCCGCCCTCCCCACCACCTCTGACGGGCGCGGGGGGGGGGGGGCAGACGTGGACAGCAACAGCGGTCCCCAGGCCCCAAGGCTGAGCCCCGGGGTCAAGGCAGAACGGTGGGGAGCCCGGTGACACCCAGCCAAGACAACACCTACTTAGCCTGCTTGCTCAGGAGGGTCACGTTGACGTTCCCCAGAACCAGGCTCAGGTACAACCTGGAGGACAGATGGGCTGAGAGGTCCAGGTGACAGAGAAGCCAACAGTCCCATCCCAAGCGTGCTGGGCCTCACAGCTGCCTTCTGCGGGTCAGGACCTTGGGGTGCTATGGACCGAGCCCCCAAAGTGCCCAGCCCCTCGGCCTGCCACGGCCACCCACCCTGGGGCCCCGGGAAGCTCCCGCCCATCAGAAGCGCCCCACATCCCAGGTCACTCCTCAGATGGTCCCATGGCTCCTTGCTACCTCAGTTCCAGCAACCTCAGCCCTAAGTCCACTTCAGGACCCCCAGCCACAGCCTGGACCTCCCCCAGCGGCCTTTCTTTAAACTCGGGCTCCAGGTGTGAGCCCCCAGCCAACGAAGCCCTTTTGTCCTCTGCCAGAGCAACTCCACGGTGCCACAGCAGTCAGTCATTTGCCAGGCAACAGCCCCAACACACAGGCTCCTGCTCAGTCAGCGCCTCTGCACACCGGAGGCCGCAAAGAGGTGAGGTAAGGACTCCAATCCAGCTGGGTGACAGACAAAGCCTCCCCCGGCATGGCACCCACGCAGGTCCTGCTGCTACCCCAGGCTCGCCACACGGCCCCGTGCTGTTCCCAGCAATGGCCACTAAATCTTCTCCCCACCCTCCAAATTGTTCTTCCACCACCAGCCTCAGCCTGGCAGCTGACGTCGCCCTCCTCCTGCCCCTCGCCTGGCTCTGGGCCTCCGCACGATGCGCTGGAAGGGCCCACGCCCTGCTCTTCCATCCCCCCTCCCGCTGGTCCCTCCGCTCGGCACGGGGACGGCACGGGGACGCGCCTGCAAAGTAACACCTAAGCAAAAGCTGCCCTTGACTGTCTCAGCGACCTCTAGTTACTGTATCTAGTGACCTCTCCCCTTCCTTACATGGCAGAGCTTGTCAAGCTGCCCACGCTTGTCCACCAGCCCCAGGTCCAAGTCCCTCCCTTCTGCCAAATGCTTCTGCAAGGCGCCCTGGCTTCAGGGAAGCACTTCATCCCTAAGGCGGTACCCTTCCACACGCACCCCCTGATCTCAGGCTGGGACCCCCCTTTCTCACCTTCTGGAAACTCTCCCTCTTGTGTCTTGCAGTCTGCACCTCCTACCCTAAGCTGTCCTCACTTTTTTTTTTTTCTTTTTGGCAGTACTGGGGATTGAACTCAGGGCCTTGCAGTTGCGAGACAGCTGCTTTTTCAGACAGGGACTTGTGTTTTTGTGCCTGGGCAGGCCTTGAACCTCAATCCTGCAGTGTACATCTCCCAAACAGCTGGGATTACAGAAATGCACCATCATGCCTGCCTCTTCTTTGAGATGGGGTCTTGCTAACTTTTTTGCCCAAGCTGGCTTCGAAACATGATCCTCCCATCTCAGCCTCCCAAGTGGCTGGGATTATAGATGTGCACAAGCATAACCAGCCTGCTTACCCATTCTTCTTGGGCAAATAGGCTTCCATATCGAAGAAGAGGCCTTGACGCTCCTTTATCTGGTTCTCCAGCTCCTGGGCAGCCTCGGAGGCCTCTGATGGGAGGGAGGGTCTGCATCTGTGGGTGGGGTCAGGGTCAGAGCAGTCCTGCTGGGCCCCATGGGGCAGAAGAGCAAACAAGGCCCAGAGTGGAGAAGCCAGCCCAGGGTCACCCCATGAGACAGCACCAGTGCTCTCTCCCCACCAGGTCAGGCACCCCGCTCCCAACCCCTCACTTCTTCAGGATGACGGCCAGCTCCTGCAGCCGCTTCTTCTGCCGAGTGATGGAGCTGGTACAGTTGCCCTGCAGCTTGGTCAGCTCCTCCAGCTTCAGGCGGTACAGCCGGTGTGTCTCCTAGGGCGAGGGAGAAGGCATGGTGCGGGCTGGCTGGGCTGGGGAACCATGCCAGAGCCTGCCGGGCAGGGCACCGGCCCACCAGGGGGCAGAACTTGCTGTGCCTGCCAGGGCTGTCCCTGAGGTTGCTCTGCCCTGAGGTGGGCGAGGAGCTGGGCGTCCTGAGAGCCCAGAGACCCCACCAGCACTCCTCCCTGTGCTCCTCAGTGTGGCTTACAGTCCATCTTGTGGGTCACACCTGAAGCCATCCCTTCTTAGCTCCTCCCACCTGCCCAGCCTACAAGACCGGAGTGGGGGGAGCTCCAGTTATCCCTGATGCCTTCTGCTTGGGCATTGCTGATGAGTCCTCCCAGGTTAAAGGTCACTGCCCTGGCACCTCCTGCTCCAAGGCCAGTCTCCCCAGCTCCGCGGCACCTTTGGCCCAAAGCTGCCCCGAGCACTTTGCCCTGGTGGGTGAACCTCAAGAAGGCACAGCCTAGAAACGGGGCAAGGGGCAGAGTGGGGAAGGCAAGGCAGGGGCCAGCCAGCTCAGGGGCAGCCAGGCAGCTGAGGCCTCCAGGGAGACACGTTAGTGGCAGCAGCTGGGCAGCAGCAGGGGCCAGTGGACAAGGAAGGGCTGGAAGCAGCCCAGCAGAGACAAATGTCTAACCAGTCTCCAGATGACTCAGGGTCCTCACGCCCAGGAGGCCACCGCACCAGGACCCCAGCCACAGCCACCACTGCCAGCCATAGCCACCGCCCTCTCCTTCCTACATGAGGCCGGAGGCTTCTTGGCATGGGGACAGGACTGCCCACATACAAGCCGGGTCCAGACAATTCTTCCCTCACTTCCAGTGACCTCAGGAGACTCCAATCCCAGAAGGTCCCCGCAGGGGCTGCCCCGCCCACTCCTCCGTCCCTCCGGACAGCAGCCACATGGGCCCACCAAGCCCTGTGTTCCCTTCCCTGGGTGGACGCTGTCCCTCCGCCCGAGACGGCCTCGTCCCCATCCAGACCCGGACTTCACCTAAAGGCCGCTTCCCGCAGCAGTCGGCCAGGAGCTGCCCGCCCGTGTTTGCTGAGTGACCCACGGCGCCGGGCCGGGCTGGGCCGGCAGTGATTGAGGACGGCTGTCCTCCCAGAGGGGACGGGGTCCCGGGAGGGGACGGGATACAGGGGGCGGGAGGAGGGGTCCCGGTTTCTTGCCCGGACCATCGCGGGCGACCAAGGTCGCCCAGCCCGGTGGGTCCCACGCGGGCGAAGGAGACTGCCGCCGGCCACTCGGGAGGGGTCGCTGGGACCCGGGTCCTCGCAGCCCTCCGGAGCGATGTCGGACCCCCGACCTCTGACCTCCAGCTCCCCTCTGCCAGGCCCGCGGCTCCCCGACCCTTGACCTCGAGCCGAGCCGAGCCGACCGGACAGCCGTGGCTCGGGATCCCATGCGCGCGCCGCGGCGCTCACCTGGATGCTCTGGAAGTCCTGCTGCAGATCCTCCCAGTCCTGCAGGCAGCTGCCCAGCGGGTCCGGGGGCTGCATGGCGACCACGCCACGGGCCGCGGGATTCCCGAGTGGAGCTCGGCGCAGCAACCCCGCCGGCCAGGCGCCTCCGCCACCGCCCCCGCCCGCTTCCGGGCTCGCGCCGCCGCCAACGGGAAAAGGCCAGGCGCAAGCCGCGCGCTGGCCCCGCCCCCCAGCGCAGCCAATCAGGGCCGGAGGCGGGGCCGAGGCGGGGCCACGTGCGCGGAGGGCCTCTCCCGCCGCCTGAGCCCCTTGCAGCCCTTGGCCAGGCTCCCCGCGGGGGTCCAACGTGACCCAGGCCCAGGGGAGTGACTCCTGTCTAGACCACTTTCGTCCTTGGGGAAGCTACGCCTCGGCGAAAATTCCGAGATTGTTTTACAGCCCAGGCCGACCTGGAACCTGGAACCTCCTGCCTGCTGTAACTACAGGCATGCATTACCACGCCCAGCTAAGATTTTTGCAACTGCCTCCTTAGTTGTTCTCCCTGCCTACATGCTCACCTCCACTGCCCTTCCTAAAACACAAGGCTAGTAATTCCCCACCACATCCCTGCTTAAAGCTTCCCAAGGGCACTGTCCAGCCTGGCAGGAAGCCCCCTCCCAGCCACAGCCTTCTCTCTGCAGCATCCCAGGCTCTGTCCAGCCCAGACTGACCAGCGCCAGTGTGGCCTGGAAGGCCCTTTCCTTGGCAAATCCCACTCCTCCTGGAAGGCAAGATGGAGTTCAGCTCCTGTCCTAGCCTCACCCAGGTGCTGAAAAGAAATGTTCACTGACTGATGTGCACTCTCCTACTCATCCCCCAGGGTGTTCTGTGGGTGCTGCCCACTCTGGGGAAGTACATTTGGACAACTCCCTTTAAGACCCAAGGAATTTCTAGAAACCTCATGGGGGTGCTGGCAGTGAGAACCTCTCCTTGGTGAACACAGCCAGGCAGCACGGGTCGGGGACAGGGAAGATCTGTACCAACTGACCAAGAGGCAGCAGCCAGAGCACTGGACCTGGGGGCTAAGGCAAGTAGTCTTATTCCAGGGAACTCCAGAAGCTCCAGAACCTAGGCCAAGGCTGGGCCTGGCATCTTTAGGGCTGGGGGGGTCTTCACCCTTGGATGGACACTTGAAGTCCCCTGGAGCATCCTCTGGGGCACCCCAAGCAAGCATCCTCCAAAGGGTCCAAGTCACAAATGTGTGACTTAGGTAGCTGCTTCAGCAGTCGGAGGCTCTCCAGAAGGAGTCGGGGCGGTCCAGTGTGCTCAGAGCAGAGCACATCTGGTAAGTGAGGTGGACGAGGGCCTAGGAAGAACCAATGCAGGAGGCTGACAGTGAGCTTCAGGCAGCAGAGGCTTTCTCCTTCAGACCAAGCCTGATATACACTCTGGCCCTCCACCCAAGAAGCCCCCAGGAGCTCTTCGGCACCCATCTCTGGGCTGCACCCATCAGGAGAGCAGATCCAAGACATTTGAGACACTGACTCCAAGGACAATTTTCTCCCAGTCCAACAGCTGGGTCACCAAGCCCCGATTTGGACGGACGTCGTTTTTGCACATTTTGACATGGGTCCAGGACTTCTGTGAACATAAAGAAAAAAGGAAGACTTCAGGATTGCTGGTGGACCCCTTTCCAACTGGATCAGAGCTAGCTTGGGAGGGACAGGAGGTACCTTCCTGGGGCCCTCAGCATGGCTTGAGAGCTGGGTACAGAAGGACTAGCAGCCAGCGGTGGATTCACGAGGGCAGGAGCTATGGGTGGGCCCCACTGCACCTCTGCTTCTGAACAGGAGGACAGAAACCAGTTCGACTTCACGTGGCTCCTGAGAAGACTGAGCCATTACACACGGAGCCTGCTGGGGTGGGCAAACACTACGCAAGCCTGGTGCACAGAGCTGCTGCAACAAAGGCTGGCACTGAGACTGTCAAATTACTGGACAAAGACAAGAAGCGTGGGCAAATTCTCTGAAGAAGGAAAGGCAAAGCGGCTTCCTTTAGGCATCCAAGCTGAAGTGGAGATGGGTTCCAATCACATGAAAGAAGGCATATGGCTGGTCTCCAAGCGGGACTGAGGGCAGAGGAAAAAGGAAGGGAGGAAACCACCTCAGCCTAATGAAGACCGTGTATGAAAAACCCACAGTTTACCCCATACTCCATGAAGAATGACCGAAAGGTTTTCCTCTCAAATCAGGAAAAAGACAAGGATGCCTGCTCTCACCACTTCTATTTGACATAGTTCTGGAAGTCCGAGCCAGAACAATTGGGCAAGAAAGAAATAACAAGCATCCAGCCAGGCGCCAGTGGCTCACACCTGTAATCCCAGCTACTCAGGAGGAGAGATCAGGAGGATCACAGTTCGAAGCCAGCCCCTGGCAAATAGTTCATGAGACCCTATCTTGAAAAAACCCATCACAAAAAACGGGTTGGTGGAGTCGGTCGAAAGTGTAGATCCTGAGTTCAAACCCCAGTATGGCAAAAACCAAACCAAACCAAACCAAACAAAAAACCCAGCATTCTAATATCATATGTAGAAATCCTAAAGATTCCACACATGTGTCAAAACTATTAAACGAATCAGGAAAGTTGCAAGATAACAAAATTAATGCATGAAACTCAGCTGCTTTTCTATATACAATGAACAGTCCAAAAAAGGAAATTAAAAAAAGTAAACAATTTCACTAAAGTAGCATTGAAAAGAAAATATTTAACCAAGGAGACAAAAGACTTACACACGGAAAACTAGCCAGGTGTGGTGGTACACACCTGTAATTCCAGCACTTAGGAGACTGAGACAAAATGATTGCCAAGTTTGAGGCCAGCCTGGGCTACATAGGGGGTTCACAGGCCAGCCTGGGCTATACAGCAAGACCCTGTCTTGAAAAATAAAAGTAATGAATAATATCTGAGGGCTTCCGTGCACTGGGAACTGACCAAAGGGCTCTACAATTCGGTACTCGCTTCACTTTTCACAACCTTGTGAGGCACACGCTATTGACATTCACAATCTACACAGAGGCAATGTGGAGAGTGTCACGTGCATAACACATGGCATAGTCAGGATTTGAGTCTAGTCACCCAACTAAGGGCCCAGAACTATCACCATGGCGCACAGGCCATGTGTAATCCCAGCACATGTCTGTAATCCCAGCACTCAGAGGGCTGACGCGGGAGGATTTCAAGTTCAAGGCCAGCCTGTGATACACAGTGAGACCCCGTCTCAAGACGCAACAACAAAACAAACAAAAACGTGCAAAGTTGAAAGAAACTAAAGGAGAAACAAATAAATGGAAAGCCATCCCCTGTTTAGGACTGGAAGACTGGACATTGTTAAAATGTCAATCCTACCCAAATGATCTATAGATGTGAGGCAACTCCTATCAAAACACCAATGGCATTTTTTGCAGAAATAGAAAAATCAATATGAAAATTCACTTGGACTCTCAAGGGACCCCAAATAGGAAAAAACAAGCCCCACCTTATGAAAAGAAGAAAGGTTGGAAGTATATTTCTTACTCCCCGATTCTAACATTACAGCTACCGTAACCAAAACTGTGGTGCTGACATGAAGAGAAAGAGACCAATGGAACAGAAGAGACGGCCCAGAAATAAATCCTCACAGATATGGTCAAATGGTTGGCGGCACTGGGGTTTGAACTTGGGGCCTCACACTTGCTAGGCAGGCACTCTACCACTTGAGCCACTGCACCAACCCTGTCTTGTGTTGGGTTTTATCCAGATAGGGTCTCGTGAACTATTTGACCGGGGCTGGCTTTGAACCTCAATCCTCCTGATCTCTGTATCCTGTGCAGCTAGGATTATAGCGATTATAGCCATGAGCCACCTGTGCCCAGCCGTGAGGAGTTTTTTGAGATAGGGTCTCTCAAACTATTTGACCAGGTTGGCTTCCAACCAGATCCTCCTGATCTCTGCTTCCTGTGCAGCTGGGATTATAGGCGTGAGCCTGGCTTCATCAAATGTTTTTTGACAAGGGTGCCAAGACCATCCAATAGGGAAAAGGACAGTTTTTTTCAACAAACAATGGCAGGAAAACTAGATATCCACATGCAAAAGAGTGAAACCGACAATAGGAAAGAGAATTCAGCAAAACCAAAGGCTGTTTCTTTGAAAAGATCAATAGAATTAATAAGCCTTTAGCCAGGCTAAGAAATAAAAAAGAGAAGACACAAATTATCACTATCAGAAGGGAAAGAGAAGTCATCACTACAGATCCAACTGGCTTTGGATTCCAGCTCTACCATGCACGGCTATGTGGCCTTTGGCAAGTCACCCAGCCTCGTTATGCCTCCCACAAAATGGGGACAATAATGTTACTACCTAAGTCACAGGATTAGTTGTGAGTGTGTTATTAATACACCAGCACTCCTGCTGAGGCAGGAGGATGATGGCTTCAAGGCCAGCCTGGGCTTCATGGCAAGACCCTGTTTTCGAAACAGCAGCAGCAGAAAGAACTAAAAGTTCTTGGCGTATAGAAAGCGCTCCACCCGCATTGCCCTGGGGTCCACCACCAACAGCCATCTTAATGCTTTGACCTGGGTTGTTTTTCTCTGTTCTCTGGAAGTCTTTAAGAGTCAGGGCGCCTCCCAGCACCTTGAAGAGCTGAATTTGATTTCTTGAGGGCTTGGTGGCTCTGAGATTCGGCACAACCTTGCACCAAAGCTTTGAACACCCAGGTCACAGGTGGCCACCCCGAGTGCCAGGTTCTTTTCCACCTCAGTCCCTGTCCTCACGTCTTGGCCTGAGCACCCAAGAAGCTGAGCTGAAGCCCAGGAGGCAGTAATTTGGGCCCAAAAGCAACCCACACCCTTCTTTGCCAGTCCTGAGGGCTCTGGCCAACACAGCTTAGCTGATGGCCATCAGAGGACACAGCATCCCTGCTGCACAGTCAAGGAGCTCACTCCCCCCAGCCCCCAGCATCACACAATGAGAGGCAGGAATGTGTCTGAGAGTCAAGCCCAGACCAACCTATGCTCGTGATCCTGGGTAAAAATCTAACCTGTGGCAGCCCTTCCTGACCCCTGCGCTGTGGGCTACACAGCTCTTTGGCAAGAATGATCTAGATGGTGTCTCTAGGAAGAGTGTCAGGGCTTCCTGAAGATGAGACAAGATGGCTGCTCCAGAAAGGGAAAGCAAGGGTTTCTCCTGAGAGCAGGATAACCTGGAGCTCAGGGCCCCTGGCACGTATCCACCTACTGACCACTGCTGGGGACAGTGAAGCCCAGACAACATGGGCTGTGAACCCCTGCAGGGACCAGTGAAGGCCTAAGGCTGGGTCTGTGTGAACCCCATCATCCCGGGGGGAGCTGCCTCATTGCTGAGAACTTAGAGGAGCCCAGCGGGAGAAGGGTTCTCTTCACTTTGCCCTCGCGCCAGCCAGCCCTGGCAAGCAGCCCGTGACATCTCTTTGAGTCTGGAGAAGATTGTGGTTTGCTTGTCGACATTAAGGTCAGGATGGAGGGCTCAGGAGACTTTTGGGTGCCCAACCCTCTCACTGGAAACCAGCAGCCACAGCAGGGCAGGGCATGAGAAAGGACCTCCCCTCCCTAGTGGGCCCCTTGCAAACTCCAGGGGGAGTTCAAGTCTCAGAATTCTCCAAGTCAACTCAGCTAAGGGACAGAACCAGTGCAACCTTCCCCTCCCAGATCACAAAGCAGCCAAGAGGCCCCTCCAGAAAAGAATCCTGGGAAGGGGGCCAGAGATGCACCTCCTCCCCTCGCCTTTTACCAATGACCTCGCAGTCCTCCCTGGGACACACCCACCAGAACACTCCTTAAACAGGTAGTACGCTCCAGCATGGGGGGGTCCCCAAAACTCCTCTTGGCAGGAGAGAACAGGGGTCTTCACATCTCTGATCCTACTCTCTCTGATTACACAGCTGGACTCTTTCCTTTTATACTGCAGTAAAATGCACAGAACATGAAATTTGCCCTTTCACCTACTTTTAGGTATTCAGTTTAGAGGCATACATCCATTGACACTGCACCACCATCACCTCAGGAGCGCTTACCTTCCCACCCTGTAGCTCTGCATTAGACACTCACAGACCCCCACTCCCAGCGCCCACTAGTCACCTTTGGGTCTCTATGGTTTTGACACTCTAGCTGTCTCATAATATATGTACCTTTTTTTTTTTTTCCTTAAAGGCAATAATGAGGAATTGAACTCAGGGCCTCAGGCTTGCCTAGCAAGCTCTCTACTAGAGCCACACGACCAGTCCTTTGGCTTTTTAGTTTGTTTTTCAGAGAGGGCCTCATACTTTTGCCCCAGCTGGCTTCAGGCCATGTCCTACCTCTGCCTCCCAAGTAGCTAGGATTACAGATGTGAACCACCACTCCTGGTCGTACAATGCGTCTTTTTATAACTGATTTGTTTCAGTGAGCATAGCATCCTCAAGGGTCATCCGTTTTGTAGCATGGATCTCCTTCCTTTCTGAACACTGAATAGTATTCATTTGCAGGGATCTACCACGTTTTGCATAGCCATTTATTTGTCCACAGACACATGGGTGTGTCCACTTCTTGACAACTGTGAATACCACTGCCATGAACATGGGTGTGCAGACATGTTTCAGCCTCTGTTTTCACTTCTTTGGTATTTATGCTCAGAGTAGAATTTCCAAATATCCAAGACTCCATCTACAAACACAAACACACCTGGGGGGACAGACAAACAACCTAGGTCCATTCTACCAGCCACAGCCTGGTGACCCAGGCCAGCCCCACATGCCCAGCCTCAGTTCTCTGGCCTGCAGCACTGGGACCTCACTATTGGGTCCCAGGGGCTGAATAACACCCTAAGTTTGGAGTCTCCCTCCCGTGCTACTGCCTAACTAGGGCTCCAAGGAAGTACGGGGGCCTGTTTCACCCAGGACCAGCTCTAACTCCACGTCCTGGGGTGGTTGTGGTCTAAGCCAGGCCCAGGGAACACATACCTTCGCAGTTTCCTCGTTCCTATGCATGAGGAAGGCCACGACAGCTGCACAGCTTCGACTGATGCCCCGAGTGGAAAAGACCAGAACTACAGAGCCCAGCTCAAGGTGAATGTCTGCAGAAAGAAGGAAGGGGTGGGATTGTCCTAGCTCTCTTTTCCTGAGTGGCCATCAGAGATTACTCAGGGACACTGGGCTGGGTGTGGTGGCATGTGCCTGTAATCCTGGCATTTAGAAGGCTGAAGCAGGAGGATTGCAATTCAAGGTCCATCCAGACTACAAACTGACCCTGTCTCAAAAACCATGGTTGGGGATGTAGCTCAGTGGCAAAGCACTTGCCTATATGTGCCAAGTCCTGGGTTCCATTCCCAGCACTGGAAAGACAGAAAGAGAGGGGTGGAGAGGGAGGAAAGAAGGAAAAAAAGAAAGGGGGGGAAGGGAGGGAGGGAGGGAGGAGGAGGGAAGGAAGGGAGGAGGAAGGGAAGGGGTTGATAACCAGCACACCAGGTCCTGTGCAAGTCACCTCCTCTAGGACACTGCTTGCCTGACAAAGACGGTCCTCAGAAACTGAGCATAGTGGGTCACTCCTGAAATCTTAGCTACTCAGGAGGCATAGATTGGGAGGATCACAGATTGAGGCCAGCCAGGGCAAGAAATTAGTGAGAAACCATGTCAATCAATAAGCTGGGTGGGGTGGCACGTAACTGTAATCCCAGATACTTGGGAGACAGAAGTAGGAGAATTGTGATCAGAAGCTAGCCAGGGTGAACAGTGCAAGATCCTATCTCAAAAATAAACTAAAGCCAGGCTTGGTGGTACACGCCTGTAATCCCAACTGTGTGGGAGGCTGTAGGTAGGAGGATCAAGGTCCAGGCTGGTGGCAAAACCTCAAGATTCTAAAAAAATAACAAAACCAAAAGGGCTGGGGGCATGGGCGTGAGGTAGGAGAGAAAAGGGAAATGAAAGGAAAAGGCCCGAAGGCGAGTCTCGTCCTGTGAGGAGGAGGGAGTCATCCCAGGTAGCCTGATGACCCCAAGAACTGCAGCTGAACACCAGGCGCAAAGCCATGGGCAGCCAGAGCTGGAGAACTCAGGGAAGTTGCCTCACTGTACAGATAAGGAAGCTGAGGCACACATCAGTGAAGGACTGGTCCCAAGCTGCCCAGTGAAACAGGGCTGGGGAGGGACCTCATTGTACCTCAAGGCTCTGTCACCACAGGACAGGACACACAAGAAGTCTCAGCCTCAGATCCTAGTCAGGTAACGGGTGATCTGCTGGGCAAATGAGGGGTGTCTGGGCTACAATGCCACTCACACAGCGGTTCAGGCTGAGGGGCCAGCACTATGTGGGGCTGACCTAGCCTCTGCCTTCTCTCCCCAGAGAGCAGGCTCTTCGGGCAGCTTGAGCTCTGGGGCTGACTGAAACTTCACGCTTGAGTTCAGCAGATGCAGAATCAGGGAAACAGGGCTGGAAGGGCTCAGGGTCTTCTTGGCCCCCACCACACCCCACCCTACTGACCAGGGCTCAGGGAAGAAACAGAGGCAGATGCACCTCTGGTGCCTCTGTGACACGTGCACCCTGCTAGGCCAACACCCTCGTTTGAAGACAGGCTCAAGAGGGCATAGCAGTCTAACTGGGGCCAGAACACAGGGTGCTCAATCCATAGTCTGGTGCTCTCATTGGGTCCCACTGCTTCCAAGATAAACACCATGGCTGCGAACTGCTGAGGGCTTGGAAAAGCCCTCATTCAAGAGCTCATCCACTCACAAGGCCAGGCCTGCGCCTGGCCCGCTCTTTCAGTCAGGGATAGGCGTGTGAGGGAGGCACCCATGGCCCCTCTTGGGCACAGGCAAGGTGTTATCTGGTCAGTGAATTCTTACCCATGAAGTGACAGATATGGCGGAAAAAGGGAGTAAGATTGGCTTCCACGGAATCTTCTATCTGGATGTGCAGAAGCTTGTCAGCGTTACCTATGAAACTAAACAGAAGAACAGGATGCGTAATGGGGCCCTCCTGCACAGGCTCCATTGTGGCATCCCTCGACCATAGCAGCAGGACCACAGGACCTGGGCTGGCATCAGGGAACGTGGGTAAGGAAGCACAGCACCTACCCCTAAGGGGGTTGTTTAGATTGCAAGGCATTTGGCACTCTGCTTGGCACCTTAGGTGCCCGACCAATGTGACGTTATTAACAAAAACATGACACTTGCCAAAGTATGGTGCCCGTAATCGGGCAAGGATGGAAAGGTATTTAATGGGCCCACAGCTCGGAGGTTAGAGCATTGGTCTTGTAAAAGTATTTAATGGCACTGGAGAATGAGCCTGCTATGCCCAAGGTTGAGATCAAGGCAAGCCGCACGAAGGTGGTAGGATGGCTATTGGGGGTAGCTGGGTTGGGGAAGCTTTTACTGAGGAGGTGATGTTTCAGAGCGGGGTACTGGAGGTGAGGTATCTGAGGACAAGGAGTTCATGGCAGAGGAGAGTGCAAGCAGACAAGCCCTGAGAACCAGTGTTCAGCATGTGGGAGAAACAGCAGGGAGAGCAGAGCATTCCAGCTTTATTACCCAGGGGGCAGAGGACAGGGCGACAAAGTGTGAGAGGACACCTGAAAGGAGCCTGCCCAAGGACCAGCATGCAGTAAGTGCTTGACAAAGTTTATACAGGAAGACTATAATTGACTGGTGACATTTGGGAACAAGCAGACCACTAGGGGCATGCAGTTGGTTCGATTTCTATATAAATGTTTGCTGAGATAAACAGAAACACAATTCCCCATCTGTCCATCCATCCATCTATCCAATTATTCATTAATCCATCCATCCAACCAGTTACCTAGTTATCCACCCACCCACCCTTTCAGTTATCCAGCCACCCACCCATCCAATTATCCATTTATCCACCCATCATCCATCACTCAAGTGGTATAGTGCTTGACTAGTATACATAAGATCTGGGTTCAATCCCCAGCAAGAAAACAATGTACATTTCTTTTAGGTGGCCTTACCTTTTAATTGGGAGTGTTTAGGCCACTTGCGCTTAAAGTGATGGTTGACATCGGTTTAAGTTTGCCACCTTGTTTCCCATTGGTCTAATCTCTGCTTTGTTCCCATTTCCATTTCTGCCATCTGGGTTACTTTTTGTGATTTCATTTTCTATCACTTGTTGTTTCGTTCATTATAACTTTGTTTTGGTTTGGTTTGGTTTGCGGTGGTTGCTTTAGAATTTATAGGACACACACTTACTAAATATAGTCTACCTCCAAGTAATATAAACAACTTAATTTGAATAATGGGGGCCCTTATCAGTGCATACTTCTAGTTTCCTTCCTACCGGCCTCAAGTGGCTCATGCCTGTAATCCTAGCTACTCAAGAGGCAGAGACCAGGAAGACTGCAGTTTGAGGTCAGCCCAAGCAAATAGTTCAAGAGACCCTATCTCAAAAAAGGGCGGTGTATCTTGGGGATATACCCAAAAGACTGTTACTCCAGAGGCACTGCACATCCATGGTTTATTGCGGCAACGATTCACAATGCCAAGTTAGGAAACACCAAATGCCCTCAAGCACTGAGAGTGAATTAAAAAATTGGTTATACACAATGAATTATTTCAGCATGAAGAAGAACAAAATGTTATATTCCGCTGGTACAATGGATGAATTGGAGAACTCAGTCTGAGTGAAGGTAGCCTGGCCCAAAAGAACCAAAAAGCTATATTCTTCCCATATGGACATTAGATCAAGGCAAAACACAACAAGGGGATTGGACATAAGCCATGAAAAAAAGTAGGCACACAAGGGAGGGGTGAGGATAGGTAAAAACAAAACTAGCTAGCATCTGTTCCTAACACAGAGAAAAAGCAGATACTAAAGCAACTGAGGACAATAGGAAAAGGGGAACAGGTACTAGAGAAAAGGTTAATCAAAAAGAATAACCTAGAAGGTAAACACCCACGCACAGGAATCAAGTGAGTCAAGCTGTATAGTATCCTATCTCAACAGCAAAACCCTGTTCTTTCCTATATTGCTTTATCTCTCACTACAACAATAGAAATAAGGGCAAAATAGTTTGCTGGGTTGAGGGTGGGGGGAGACGGAGGGGGCGGAGTGGGTGTAAGGGAGGTGGGGGCAGGGGAGAAATGAACCAAGCCTTGTATGCACATATGAATAATAAAAGAAAAATGAAAAAAATAAAATAAAATGTTAGAATCACATTATAAAAAAAAAAAAAAGGGCAGGTGTAGTGGCTTAAGTGGCAGAGTGTCTCCTATCAAGTGCAAGACCCTGAGTTCAAGCCCCAGTTGCAAAAAATAAAAAATATATATATGTATGCATGCGCACATATATATATGCATACCTACATATATACATCCTTTGAGGAGATTTTAAAACAAGGGGGAAAGCATTTTACACTTATCTACATAATTCTCACTCCCAGTGGTCACTGTTTATTTTATATAGATGCAGATTACTATCAGACAATCATTTTGTTTTTGCCTGAAGGACTTACTTTAACATTTTTAGTAGCGCAAACCTGTTGATGATTAATTCGTTCAGCTTTTATATGTCTGAAAAAAAAAAACATGTTTTGCTTTCATTTTCACTGGTGATAGATTTTAGACTGGTAGGTTTTTTTGGTTTTTTGGTTTTTTGGTGGTACTGGGGTTTGAATTCAGGGCTTACACCTTGAGCCACTCCACCAGCCCTCTTTTGTGTTGTTTTTTTTCAAGATAGGGTCTCGCAAACTATTTGCACAAGCTGGCTTCAAACTGAGATCTACCTGATCTCTGCCTCCTGAGTAGCTGGGATTACAGGCATGAGCCACCGGCACCTGTCAAGGCTTCAGTTTTCAGTACTTCACAGTCCTCAAATTCACTGTTGCCACTGTGAAGTCTACTACCACCCTTATCTTTGTTCCCTGGTATGTATTCCCTGGTATGTAATATATCTTTTGTCTCTGTCTGCTTTTAGGATTTGCTCTCATTCCCTGCCCCCAATGTCAATATTTCCCCTCTTCCTCCCTTGCCTTCTACCTCTTTCTCCATGTCCTCTCTCTCTCCCTCTCCCTCCCTCCCTTTTTCTCTCTCTCTCCTCAGTAAGTAGCTAAGACCAGCCTTGAACTCATGATCCTCCCTCTACCTCCTGAGTGCTGGAATTACAGGCATGTACAACCACACCAGGCTGAGATTCTTTTCTTTACACTGGTTTTAAGGATTTAAGATAATGTGCCTTGCTGTGGTTTTCTTTGTTTCTGTGCTTGGGCTCTGTTGAAATTGAATTTTTCAGCTATTAGATCTGTAAATATTTTTTCTGTCTTCTCAATTTCCTCTCATTTGGAAAAATCTAATTACATATAGTTTGGGTCACTTGGTGCTATCTCAAGCTCCCTTAAGTTATGTGCATTTTTTTCTTTTTTTGTTTTTTTTTTTTTTTTTTGGCAGCACTGGGGTTTGAACTCAGGGCCTTGTGCTTGCTAGATAGGCACTCTACCACTTGAGCCACTCTGCCAGCCCTATTCCATCTTTTTCATCCCGATGTTTTATTCGGGATATTTTCTATTGCTGTGTCTTCGAATTCAGCAGTCCTTTCTTCCACAGTGTTCAACATTCTGTAAATCCTTCCAGTGCACTTTTCATGTCAGTGTTGTGTTGTCAGCCCCAGTCTAGGGCTAATGTTCCCCCTTGACTGAGGCAATGCTGTTCTGAGTACTCCGCTTGATTTCCTATCCATGAGGAGCTTTGTCCACTGTAACCTCAAACACAAACTACTCCTGCCCCCATGTAGTTTTGGGATTGTACTTCCTGCCATTTCCAACTGGTTCCCCCAGCCTTGACGAGTTTCCTCACATGCATGTCCTTGCAAGCACTCAGCTGAAGACACAGGTGGAACCTGCTGGGATGACCACAGATGTTTCTTTGTGCACAGCTCTGTTCTCCATGCTGGTCTCTCCTATAAATTCTAGCCTACTTGACCTCTCTGCACTCTCAACTTTGTATACTTAACTCAGGAGTTGACAGATTTTGTACAGAATCTTCTCTGTTCTGCAGCCTGCAAATAATCCCCAGGCAATAAGCTGTACTTATTTGGGGTTCACCTTGTTTTGTTTTGTCTTCTCTCAGGAATCACTGTCCTGTGCTGCTGGTAGCCACTGTCTGAAAACCCCTTCTAGATTTTATTTGGGATTACTTTAGTTGTTCTAAAACAACTAACAACTGGTTCCTATTGCTCCATCATGGCCGGAAGTGGAAATTCTTCTCACCTATATTCTCAAAGGAAATATTCTCTGGGCATAAACTTGTGGGTTTGCAGTTATTCTCTTTCAGTGCCTTAAGGTTGTATCAGTTATTAATTGTTCTTTAACAAAATACCCTAAAATTAGATGACTGAAAAGGAATCAGAAGTGGCTTGGCTGGGTAAGAGCTCTTATACAATTGTGGTTAAGCTGCTGACCAGGTCTCGTCTGAAGGCTCAACTGGAGGAAGGAGCTGCTTCCACACTAACTCATGGGGGCCACTGGCAGGATTCAGTTCCTTGAAGCTTTTTAAAAATTTTTTTTTGGTACTGGGGCTTGAACTCAGGGCCTGCAACTTGAGCACTCCACCACCCCCTTTTCATGATGGGTTTTTTTTGAGATAGGGTCTCAAGAACTATTTGCCCAGGCTGGCTTCAAACTACGATCCTCCTGCCTCCTGAGCAGCTGGGATTACAAGCGTGAGCCACCAGTGCCCAGCTCATTGAAGCTTTTTTGCCTAGGGCCTCGTTTCCTTCCTAACTGTTGTATGGAAGTCTTCCTCAATTTCTTGCCACATGAGCCTCTCCCTGGGGCAGTTCAAACATACAAGCTTGGAAGTGACAGCCCATCACTTCCACTTTTCATTAGAATCCTATCCATAAGTCCAGCCCATACTCAATGGTGTGCATATCAGCAGGCCACCACCACAAAGATATATTCCATTTTCATCTAGTTTCAGTGATGTCTGTTGAAAAGTCAGTCATTAGGCTAATCAGGCTCCTTTTGAATGTAATCCTTTGTT